GTATGCATAAATAAATAAATCTTAAAAAAAAATAGTTAAATAATAATAATCAGGCCTGGATCATGAAGCTCCCAGTATTTATTTTAAATAACTAGTTTTCCTCCTTTGTCTCAAAAAGTAATTATTTACAACATTTTTACATGCCTTCCATAAAAATTAATACTTTGCATGATTTTTGTAAACATCTCAAAGCAATTCATTGGGGTAAAATCTAAACATGATTCTTAGGAGAAACTAAATACTTCACTCTTCCCTTCTTTGCCCTCACGATTGGGGGTTTCCTTGGGATTCACAAAATGGCTGTCAAATCTCCCCAAGCAGACCTGAGAGCAGAGAGCAAGAAGATGGCACTCACTGTGGGTTACAAAGGGGTGCTCACGACTGGCTGTGTCCCTTCCCTCCTCCCAAGGACAGCACCACGTGGCCATTACAGCATCCTGCTATGTCAAACCTACTAAAACAAACTGAAATGCAAAGAGAACAGCAAACTTCCACAAGCTTATTAACCTAGACAGGAACTTCCTTCCTTTTCTAGAAAGTGAGTTCCATGAACGTGGACTTTTTCAGCCTTATTTGCAGACCTATTCCCAGCACCTCGAACAGACATAATTATGATTTTTCGGAACCATCATTCTTAATTCTGTAAATTGAAATGGCAAAAAAGCAATGCCAATTTTGGGGTTTCAAAGAATATATGCCGTAAGTGATACTATAGGGTAGGCAGGAGGATCTATTACACATCTCAGCAAAGTCAAGGATCAAACTTTTTTCCTCTTATCTGTGGTTAGCAAGTAAACACTTCATTGACACTTTGCTGAGCTCTATTGGTTACAGACATAGGCAGAAAACAAATCTGGTATTGAAGGTTATATTTCATTCTCTATAATCGTGCTTTTATATAAATAAGACATGCCAAGCATCAACAGTAAAATCAGTGAGGTTTGCCTTCTCCACCCAGCTTAAAACCATAAATCATGTTGGTGTGCATTCCTGACCTTCCTTAGCCTCTGCTATTTTTTAATAGTACTTTTACCTTCTAATACATTATGTATCTTATTTATTATAATATTTTCTTTGCTTACCTTCCTTAACCTTCATTTAGAATATAAATGCCATGGGGATCTTTTCAAGCACAAGAATATTTGTTTAGTTCATTGCTGTTTAACTCTAACAGTGCCTGGCACAGAAATGATGTTCAGTCTTTGTTCAATGAATGAATGTTATTTTTATAATTTGGTGGCCTCAATTCTCATATTTCTAGGTTTTTTTTGGGGGGGGGCAGAGGGAAGGCTTAATTTTATCTATTCCTTTGTTTTGTTTCTCTCTGTTACACATATGATTTATCTTTTGAATTTTATGAGGGAGAAGAGCTTCATCATCTAAAGATTATCATGCCAGGGCAATAAAGCAACCTGTAGTAATTAAAGGGATAAATACTATTATTTGTTTGTGATCCAGAAGCTCATTACTACCAAATAAATTCTGGCATGTGTCCTGTTTTTAAAGATATTTTATTAAGCTGGGCAGAGGTTCCTCAAACTACTAAAAATGGAGCTACCATATGACCCATCAATTCCACTTCTAGGAATTTACCCATAGGATGCAAAAACATTAATTCAAAAGTATCCCTGCACCCCGATGTTTATTGCAGTACTATTTATAATCGGTAAGATATGGAAACAACCCAAAAACCCAAAAATAGACGACTAGATCAAGAAGATCTGGTATATATACACAATGGAATACTATTCAGCAATCAAAATGATAAACTCATGCCAATTGCAACAACACTGATGAGCTAGAAGGGATTAGGCTCAGTGAAGTAAGTTAGAAGGAAAAAGATATTGGAAGGTTTCACTTACAGGAGGAATATAGGGGAACCAAATAAGGGATCAGAGGAACAAAATAATAATAAATTTAAAAAAATTAATAGGCAACTATAAATCAGAGTCATTCTGCAGGGGCGGGAGAGGGATCAAAACAGGGGAGCGAAGAGCACAGAGGACTATGGTGATGGTGCACAGGTAAATTGGTGGTGGGAATTCTATGGGGACTACCCCTGATAGGAGAAAGCAAACTTTGTACAAAAATGAACAATGATATAAAATATATATAAATAAATTATATAAAAATAAAAAATAAAGCTATTTTATGAAAGATCAAATGATTGATGAAGCTGGTGCAATAGGCTGCATGCTTCTATTTTGTTTCAATATTGTTTTTCTGCTTAACCAAGTAATTCATAACTTTATTTTAAAAAATTATAGCATGGAATGTAAATAGTATATTCTTAACTATTAAACTCTGAACTTTTAAAAAAATTGTTAGAAGACAAGTCTGATTATGTGTGGCTGTGTATCAGAAAGAACTTTTTAAAGTTGCTAAAAGCTGTTTTTCAGAGCAGAACAAATGTTCATGGGCAGCAAAGTATTATCACAATTCAACAATAAACAAATAAAAACAGAAAGATAGGAATACAAATAAAGTAAGTTTACTAGTTCTACTTTCAATCTTGATGCCAACGATGGGAGAAAAACTGACTGAATCAAACCAACATTCTAATAAACTCTAGGTTCTAGTCTGCCAAATGCCATTCACATTAAAACAGGGTAGCCTGTTTCTGAGAGAATAAAATCAACCCTGTGGTTATTTTTGTTTATTCGCAAATCATATATGCTTGAGTTTTAAGATGATATTTTTCAATTGCCACAGATAAATCAGGCAAAAGAATAGACTAGCTACTTTTTTTGGTTGGATTAAAACTTACAGGAAAATAAAAGGAGGAAATATCAAAATATAGATAACCCAGCTTGTTTAGGATGTTTATTTCTTTGCACTAAGAAATAAAAAGGTAGGTAATAGCAAACCTCAAAGGAAATACAGACACAAATGCAGCAAGGGAAAAGAAATATGAAAATAGTGGTTGTGTGAGTTGGCCATAACTATAAAAAGAAAGATGTTTTAATTTATTTAGGCAACATAGTTTATTCAAAGAAAATTATAGATTTATTTGTTCATTCAGAAAATGTATCAAAGAAATATACTCTTCCAACTGGGACATTATAAGGCCTATCATATATAAATATGGTTTTATGGATTCAAATATATTTAAACAAACAAAATCACATCATATACCTTGGTGCTTTGAAATATGCATTAAATACCTAGCACTTTCCCCGAAAGGCACTGAAAATACTAGACTCAATTTGTACCTCAAAATAATAATTTCATGCACCGCTCACTAAGGCAAGATAACACAGAGAGAGAGAGAGAGAGAAAGAAAAGAATTGTCTCTCTAAATCAAGGCTTGAATATTGCATCTTTTGCATTTCGATGCTACATTAAACTACAGTGTTTAAACACTAATGAATAAAGAATGTTTAAAGGCAATATTTACATTCACCGCAACAAATTTCTCTTTTTTGACTGGCTGTTCAAGGAAGCACCATTCTAGTTAATTACTGTGTGCACAGAAATGGTTTAACGAATAGTATGCAACCAATAGGTTTTCCCAGAATTGCTTTTGCAGCTTCAACCATAAAAATAGGCTGCTCCTTTCTTTCACAATCTCCACTGACTTGGTTGGAAGGTATGTGTCTGTATATGTGTTATAGATACTTAATTACTAACCTGGGTGGTGCCAGCACAGTTCTTCATACCTCCAGGGTGATTACAAACTGTATGTGGTCCTTGGAGAGGTAGGCCCCAAAGGTAGAGATGCCCCCACTTGGCAAAGTTCTCAAAGAAGCCACAAACACAACAAATGCTCACTGCTCGCTTGGTTAAGTGATAAATTCATTTATGCAGTGCCTTCATTTACTAAGTGCCTCAATCTGCAAGCCCTGCTGCTTTCCTTTGCTTCTCATCTAACAAACTGTTGTCATCCTTTCTGTTTCTCAGCAATCCAGCACCATCTCCATTACCACCCACAAAATGGAAAGTTTCTCACAGGTTGTGACCTTGCCATGGTAACTGGCACAACACCATGCACTCGATAAGTATTTGTTAAGTAATTAATGGTAAAGGTATAAAATATTGTGTAAGTGAGGGCCTCCCTGGTGGCAACCTCTGAAGCTGTCCATAGCCACTGCAGCACAAGTTCCATCCCTGGCCAGCCAGGCAGCAACCCACATGGCGCAGCAGACCTCTCCTGTCTCCCTGCTGCTCCCCTCAGCAGTGTATTTCAGTCAGTCTGCCTGTTCTGCTCCCCACTCTGTCTCTGGTGAATCCTCTCACCTCCCGCAATCTGGCCTGCACCCCAGCTCTTGTATGCATAAATAAATAAATTTAAAAAAATATATATTGTGTAAGTGAAAGAATGTGAGAAAGGCAGGAGAGAGCATCATTGGGAACAGTACAAACTAGCTTGAAAAAAGGAAGGGGTTTAGGGGAAGGTAAATAAGCAAAGGACTGGAGAGGGACAAGTGGGCATTCTGGAAAAGGTAGCAGTTAGAGTTTGTTCTCAGTCGCCTGGGAGAAGGAGCCAGGGCTCACCACCCAGAATACAGGAGAGAGGGGATGTCAAGCGTGGCTTATTATATACCTTGTAATATGGAGTCTATCCTTCCCAGTTAATACTGTCATTGCCAACTTTAAGTTTAGAGTTTTAAAAAAAATCCCTTTAAATACTATTAAAGAGAGCCAGTCAACTCAGGTGGCCCAAATTGGATGGCGCAGTCATTATCAAGTTGTGCAAGCGATGTGCCCTGTTGGTGTACACAACAACACGTAGTTGCAGAGTGGGAATTTCTGGTCTAGGTCCTGGGATTCTCAGTTTTGGCCTAATTTTTGGTGAAGCCAGATTGGGGCAAAAGTTATGTGAGAAGAGTAGTGGGGAGGCATGAAGGAAAGGAGCGGCGGTGCGGGGAACAGAAGCAACCTCTTTACACCACATAACACGCCATCTCGGTTCCAGCCTACCCTGTGCCACTGACCTACCGTCTTGGCCTCTCCAAGCATGTTTTCCTCAATCTGCAAAATAAAGGATGGATCAAACCTACCCCTTCCACCTGTGATTCCAATTAATTCCAGAAACTTAATCAAGGAGCTGCCAAGAAACTGGCCGCCGGGAACTCTCCCGGTTGCCCCACCCAGGCTGCGCCGCCCCAGCCCGCCTGGGGTGAGCCCGGCCCCGCCCCGCGGAAGCCAGGACCGCACCACGCGCGCGCCCGGGGCCACGTGACCCCGAGTCACGGGACCGCGCCCGGCCTGCCATGGCGTTGGTGCCCAGCGGGCCCGGGGCAGCGCCTGCACCTGGCGCCCGGTTTTTCTGCACCGCGGGGCGCGGCCTGGAGCCCTTTCTGATGCGGGAGGTGCGGGCGCGGCTGGGGGCCACGCAGGTGAGTCGGCCTCGCTGCGCGCCGGGGAGGGAAGGGGCGGCAGTGCGCCCTCTGCCCTGCGCCCTCTCGCCTGCCGGCACCCACTCTTGCCTGCCGGTGCGCCCTCTGTCCTGCCGGTGCCCCCTCTCGCCTGCCGGTGCCCCTTCTCACCTGCCGGCGCGCCCTCTGTCCTGCCGGTGCCCCCTCTAGCCTGCCAGTTCGCCCTCTAGCCTGCCGGTGCCCCCTCTATCCCTCTCCCGGCTCGCAGCCACCAGGCCCACCTAGGCGACGGTCCCCTAATTACTGCAGGAAGGAACCGCCCATCATTTTCCCTACACCTATGTTACCGCACATCTGTCACTGCTCAAGTTTATTTTTTTTCCCAGGGGGTTGAAGCAGGTTCCTTTTTAGATTCTTTAAAAGTATTTGATCGTGCCTATAATTAGAATCAGACCTGTCAGTGAGAGTCCCTTCTCCATCCTTTAACAGCACATATGTGTAACCTTCAGGTTTAGTTACTCCTGTCAGTTTCCTGACAGTGATTGTATTCACCTCCTAAGATTGTCTGAGGGATTAAATCGAGTAGGGTGTGTAGTGTACACCTTAAACACGTAGTAAATAGTAGCCAGGAAAATAATGTACTCCTGGAGGCCTCATGGTCCAACTTCCGGAGGAATTTATCTGTTAATTTCAGTGATATGAACAAGGTTTTGACCATATTAGGTTCTGGAACTTGCTGAACAGTACTTTAATGGAGTATCTGACTGATATATTATTGGAAAAGGAAAGATTACCAAATGAAAGTGACCACTTCATTCTGGCAGTTCCTTGTGTTTGGAAGCCCAGGAGAATTTCTGCAGTAAGGGGTGAGGATAGAAGCGGTCATGAAGAATAGCAACAGTTTTGATAAATGTCATGCCATTTGTGGTTTTGGTCACAGAATTTAATAGGGTGTTGGATGTAGCTACTCTTAAAAAGTAACTATATAATAACTGCTGACATTAACTAAGCATTTAATATCTGTCAGGTTCTACAGATTTGTAAGTCCTTGCTCTATGCACTTGCTTTATTTTCACAACAACCCTTAAAGATAGCATCTACATTTAGCAGAAGAAGAAAATGAGCACAGATAAGTCTCATTTCAAGTCTTTATTCAAGTCAGGCATCCAGAAAATGGCAGAACTGGAATTTCTACACACTGGAGTTTGCAAAGCCAGGCATGAGTATACATATAACCTTATACATAGCAGGCCCCAGTTCCTTAACTGTTATGTGGCCATGATATAATGGTGCACTGATATTATTTTAAACATTAACTTAGAGTTCTTGCACAATCTGAGTATTTAGGAGTATTAGAAAAAAGACCATCTCTACTTGTTCTTCGTCTTCTCTAGAAACAAAAATGACATAGGCAAGTGATAACTATAGCAAGAAAACTCAGGTATGGGGGGAAATTTCTTGGCAGTGACAGTAATTAAATTCCAAGAGAACTGGGAATTTCCATATTTTGATCTTGTATATTTTAAGGATGGATATGCCTGAAAATGGGATTGGAACAAATAACCTCTGAAATTCCAGTTTCTCTAATTCTCCAATTTATCAAAGTTAAGTCGACCATGAGGTACCAATGTTAGCATCTAACATCTGTTAAGCACTTAAAATATGTGAGACAGTTTATGTACATGATATGATTTAATCCTCAAAGAATCCTATGTAGTAGATTTTAATCTCCATTTTACAAAGAAATAGAGATGGTGCTCTGAGGTGGAGCGGATCTTGTGTCTGAATCTCTCTAAGTTTCAAAGCCCATGTGCTTCACCACTACCCTAAATCACCATGGGAAACTGCCCTGAAACACTGAATGTTGGTTATTTCCATAACAGCATGGTAAAGTGTGTGGTTTTTAGAGTCAAAAGACAGCTTCACTTCTTATGTCTTCCATTAACAAATTTGTAAGTTTGAGCAAATTAGTTACATTTCTGGGCCTCACTTTCCTTGGATATAAGAAAACAGCATAAACCCATCAAGGTCCATCCACCTTTTCACAAATGTCAAAGTTTTATCTTTTCATAACTGCATAGTTTTCCACTGTGTATGTTTACCACTTCTTTATCTGCTCATCTATCTGTCATCATTAGCCACTTGGGTTGTTTCCCTATCTTGGCTGTTGTGAATAGAGCTTCAGTAAACATGGGGTGCCTGTATCTTTTTGAATCAGTGTTCTCATATCTTTGTACCCCATGTTATTTTGAATGAAATCCGAGGTATCATTTGCAAATAGGTAACTATTTGCATATGTATTCATAATATTAAGGACTGTTTATATAGCGTTGTATATTTAATATAATAATGACTTTTAGAAAAGACAATCCACAATATCACACCTAAAAAGTAGTGGTTCCTTATCATCAAATCATTTAGTCAGTGATTCAAATAAGATCCAAGCATTGTGATCAATGCTCTTTTAAATCCATAGATTTATGGATTTCCCCTCCATCCCTTCATTCTCCTTGTTTAACTGTTTTAAGCTGAGTTCTTTGTTCCCTAGTCTAGCAAGGGTCAGCAGAACTTTTCTGTAAAAGGCCAGGTAGTGAATATTTTAGGCTTTGTGGATCACTTTGTGGTTTCTGTTATATTTTCTTTGTTTGCACTAAAATTCATTTCTCTTCTACATTAAAATATAGTACCTATCATCATAAAGAATAAGTTGTTAAAATGTTTTATATATGATTATTTGCTTCTCACAGTGATTGTTTTACAGTTTAGAAAACTGCTTCTGATTGCATGCTTATTACATGTAAAAAGAATGTAGGCCTTGTGTTAATTTTGTTTTTTTTAAAGATTTATTTATTTATTTATACAAGCACTGGGTACAGTCAGAAGCATGGGAGGGTGAGAGAATTCACCAGAACCAGAGCGGGGAGCAGAGCAGACAGAAGTACCAAAGTACACTGCTGAGGGGAGCAGCGGGCGGCAGAAGAGGTCTACGCACCCTGTGGGACCCTCCTCCAGTGGCCGTGAGCAGCCGGGGATCGAACCGGCACTGCAGAGGCTGCGGGCAGCCTCACAACCCAGCTCTCAACCGCTGCACCACCAGGGAGGTCCCCTTGTGTTAATTTTTAAATAAGGAGAATATTTAGTATTTGGGTTTTCATTGGTGCCAACTTAGAGCTTCTTCAACAGAAAGTCTTCTTTGTCAAACTAGCATGGTAACTCCAGAAATTATCATCCCAAATACTTAATTAGACCACGTCAGAATAAAAAGACAAAAAATCCGGCCTCCCTGGTGGCGCAAGGGGTTAAGCACTGCACTGTAAAGCAATCCACAGCCTCTGCAGCAGGAGTTCCATCCCCAGCCAGGGAGCAACCCACATGGCTCAGCAGACCTCTCCTGTGTCGCCCACTGCTCCCCTCAGCAGTGTATTTCAGCCAGCCTGCCTATTCTGTTCCCTACTCTATCTCTGGTGAATCCTCTCAACCCCTGTATCTCTGGCTTGTACCCCACCTCTTGTATGCATAAATAAATAAATCTTTAAAAAAAAAAAAAAAAGAAAAAATCTTGGGATTCAAGTTCCCATGGAATGGGATATAACTAGACTCATGGGACTCTCCAAATTCCCGGTGCCTTCTTTCTAAGAGATGACTTAGAATAGTCAACCCATGACCTCTACTAATCGGAGAATTCCAGGATAATTCTGAAATTCATCCATTCATTTCTGCCTTTCCTGAATTTAAGGGGGTTGGCTTGACCCAAATGGTATAGGATTCCATGGGCATTCCATTTGCTCTGCCTCATTAGACTCCCTGTGAGTAAGTACTCTTTTTATTTTCCTTTCTTCCGTTTTTACCACCTATCCATCCTATCTTCAGAGCATTTGATGCAAACATATTTCTCCTACTATCCATTTCCTAGTTCCCATGATCAAGTGTCTCATTATTTCTACCTCAGTTATCTACTTCTCCCTCTGGCATCACATTCTAGACTGTCTTTTATGCCACTTCCAAAGTAATTTTTTCTGCCTGCTAATTCAGTGCTGTCACAGTTTTCATCAAAAATCTATAATGGTCACCGTTACCATCTGTGGAACTCCAGATTTCATGACCATTTATCAAGCTGGCCCTCGCTGTGCCATCCGTCCACCTGACACTATCAGTCAGCTTAACACAAAGGTGGCCAGGCTCACTTCCAGTGCACTGCAGGCGTGCTTTCTCTCCCACCTCTGCATCTTGTCTTTGTTCTCTTGTTAGAATCCCTCTTCCCAGATCTCCTACGAGTCTTCCCTGGGATTTTCACTAGTGATAACTTTCATAATCAGTGGTACTTATTGTGCCTACAGCTGATTAATGCATTTAGTTAAAATTTCTTAGATTTCTTCTGAGTTTAACCCAGTGACTTATGTAAATTTTGCATTTTAATTTGTATGTCAATGTATGCCTATTTTACATTATTACTCATTTTTAGGATATGTGCAGTATGATTCCTCAGAGACCACAAGGTAGATGTTCAATAGATATCTATTTTTTTTTCCTATCTCTAGGTTGAATATCTTTCAGGAAAAGTTTTTTTCACCACTTGTTCTGACTTGAGTATGCTGAAAAAATTAAAATCTGCAGAACGATTATTTTTGCTGATTAAAAAGCAGTTTCCACTTACTGTCTCCTCTGCAAGTAAAGGTATGGTGTATGCCTATTACTTCTACCTACCCACATGATATTATACTCCTAATCTGTAGCCATTTCACATTTTTAAGATTCATATCTGTGGGATCAGTAATTATGTATTTTTCTGTATTTCCTGATTTATTATTGCCTAATTGTAGTAGAGTCTGTCTCCTCTCTGCAATGTGCTGCTTGTGTTTTGAGACTTTAGTGTCCTAAACTACATTTCTTATGTGGTCAGTTGTGCTTATTTAGATTCAGAGGCATGTAATAATTCAGAATTCATTGTTTTAATAAATTGACCAAAGCTGTCACCTCATAAATTTTAAAGGATATAACTGGAAAATACTACATAGTAAAGTTTCCTGTTTTGAGAACCTTAAATGTTTTGAGCAAACATATACCCATCTATAATGCATTAGAGTTAAAGGGAGCTTAAGAAATTTCCTGTCTACTCCCCAATTTTATAAATATGCCACTAAAATAATTTAAGCAACAAAAAAGGGTCAGACTGCTGGAATAGAGTTCATGTAATCCTATAGTCTAAAAAACTATGACAAGAAAGATACAAATAGCAAGAAATTAAGACAAAACAAAAAAAGATTATTTTTGGAAGAAATATTAAGGTTTTTATATTGTGAGGTGAGTGTAATTTCATGTCAGTATTCCATACACACTGCAGAGAACTACAGTGATTACTCTGGGATTATTTTAATGATCCATGTTGATCAAGAAAAGATTATGTTTTTATTAGGCATGCTAGCATGCTAGCAGTCTATAAGTTATGTACACCTGAAGTGTTACTTTATGGAAAACTTGTGCTAATATTATCTGATCTAAAATAGTCCCGAGGTCAGTAACTCTGTTTCTGGGCTCTCAGCTTTGCAATTTATCCTATGTTTTTCAAAAACTTAGTTTTTTAGCATGATCAGCCTTATTTCGAAAACTGATGCAATACTCTAGGGCCTATGCATACCTCGAAGAGATACATATATACTTATAGGACAAATGATCTTGCTAAGGTATATGGTGATTCTATAGGAATTTTAACAATATTGATAAGTATGGAACGTAAGAATGAACAGTATTCTTATGTTAAATAATATAAATTCCACATGAAAGTGAAGTCAGTGTTCATGTAGCAATTAAATAAAATGTATTAAAATAAAACTTAAAGGGATGTAATAAAACTTATAAAGAAATAAAGGTAATGGGCTTTGGGGTATGATAAATGTTATAGACCTTCTTAAAACTCCAATATAGGATAAACTGAGAATTTATTTACTTAGGAAAAATATTTAATGAAATACAAAAACTTATAAATGATGATCCAGAAAGTTGGTTGAATGCCATTTCCATTTGGAAAAATCTTCTTGAACTTGATGCAAAAAAGGAAAAATTTCCTCAAAAAGATGCTAACCCATTAAAAAGGAAAGTGGGAGAAAATGACATCATCGTTGCTAAGAAATTAAAAACAGGACAAATGAAAGAAATGGAGAGCACAGAATGCCAGCTGGAAAAAGAAGTAGAAGAAACACTGGAGCAAGAAGATTTTATCACTGAAAGAGAGCCATTTCAAGAAGAATTTCAGAATGATGGAGCTGAAGCAGTTAATACCCAGAATGACTTGACTTTCAGAGTTTCTTGTCGTTGCAGTGGAGCAATTGCAAAGACCTTTACTGCACAGGTACGCTCACCTTCTGAGGTGGGCTCCCCATTTTCTTAAAGAATTCATTACTCTTTCCATCTAAAATGAGTCCTTTCACAGGATAGATGCAGACAGGTAACTAGGCCTAACCTCATACAACTAAATCTCTTTAAAAATAGTTTTCCTTCTGGTGCTTAAAAGGAAGAGTATGCCATTCCACATCATCACATCCTTTCACTTTCTCCCTTAAAGTTTGCTCACACTCAGGGGTACCCTTTGCATTTGGAATATCCCAATCCTACACTCTTTATGTTTCTGTTTAGCATAGTTCTGTACTTACTGAGTGGCTGCTCTGCACCGGCCTCTGTATGTGTGATTGTCACCAAGACCCAGACTGCAAATACACAAATGCACTGGAGGTCTCAACTATATAGAGGTCAAAACCCACAGTTTTCCTCACAAAACCTTGTCAGTTGACTCTTAGAAAGTTCAGTGAAATAAAATGAAGGGCATAGTTTAGAGTATGTTAGCCGACCTTGAAATCAGAGATCCTAAAATTTTAGTCTAATGCTACTTATCTGGTTATTTTTAAACAGAAAGCATTGCAGTTTCTAAGATAGTCTATTTCCTAAAACCCAGAATGACCATGTCTGTGTGATCATAACATGGTTATTTCATGCATCTAAAATTTCAAGGGTAGAAGTGACACATGAGCAGATATTAATGTGTTGGGTAGTGGGAGAGGTAAAATGCAACCTTGAAAAGAAAATGCTTAAATGTCATAATTAATACTGTAACCCTAAATTACTACCAGATTATCTGACTGGATTTTCTACAGATGCTTAGTTTTTGCTTCCACTTAAACTTAAATTTTCTCATTTTGGCATTCTTTTCTATAACTTACTGCTTTTGCAGGAGATGGGAAGAGTAATTGGAATTGCTCTTATGAAACAGTTTGGATGGAAAGCAGATTTGAGGACTCCAAGTATAGAGGTACTGAATGGTCACTTTATTTTCCATGCTTATGACCTAATTCTTTAAAAAACAATGTCAGCTCTTCTTACTGTACTCTTCAGTTTTGCTTTAGAGTTTTAAAAAGCATGTCTGCATGGACCTAGCAGTCTGTTTCTCTTCAGTAGTTAGAGTAATACAATTTTGCTAGTCATTTTTACTGTGAAAATGTATCCATATAAGAGATTTCAGAAGGAAATTGTCTTGTCACAGTTGAGCTGAAAAACATTTATTTTAAGGTTCAGAGATGTTCTGTATACCCACTATCATAGCTAAAAAGTCTCTAAATAAGAAATTCCCAGCTGTAAAAAAAAAAATGCTCAAAATTCAGTAATAGTGGTTTGTTGGGGTTATGAGATTTGTTTTCTTTTTCTCCATTAAAATTAATTTCCCTAGTTTTGATTAGAACAAAGTAAAACATAAGGGGAAATATTCTAACTATAAAAAATATTCTGTGCTTTTTTTTTTAAACTATTGTTGGGTATTTTACATGATTCATTAATCATAAATTTATTGTCAGAGGGCTTTAAATGAAGTGCTAATTTGCCAATATCAGAACATTTTATATTGCATTATTTTTTAATTTTTTTGTTTAATATTTCTTTTTTTTTTTTTTTTTTTTTTTTTTAAAGATTTTTTTTTTTATAGAGGCATGTTTTATTTATTTGTTTGTTTGTTTGTTTTGTTTATACAAGCACTGGGTACAGTCAGAAGCGCGGGAGGGTGAGAGAATTCACCAGAGCCAGAGCGGGGAGCAGAGCAGGCAGAAGGACCGAAGCACACTGCTGAGGGGAGCAGCGGGCGGCAGGAGAGGTCTGCGCGCCATGTGGGACCCTCCTCTGGTGGCCGGGGAGCAGCCGGGGATTGAACGCGCAGCAGAGGCTGCGGGCAGCGTCGCAACCCAGCACTCAACCGCTGCGCCATCGGGGAGGCCCCTTTTTGTTTAATATTTCTCACTTTAAAAAAGTAATTTATGTTTAGTGGACTATGATGGAAGATTTTGGTGCTTTGGTGGTGAGTGTGGCATGGTAACATGCATTTGTAGAGGTGTGAACCTGTACCCCTATGTTATACAGTGTTGTAAATTAACATTACCTCTAAAACATAATTTTTATCAAAAAAGAAAACAATAAAAAGTAATTTATAAGTATATATCCTTTGTTGCTTTCATGCAAAATATTTTACTCCAACAGTTTTTTTGACATAAGGATGTCATTTCCTCCTTTCATTTCCTCCCTTCCATTTCTCTTATCTTCTGCTCTCCTGGTGTCCTCATCTTGATTCCATCTCCCTGGCTCAGAATTACAGTTTTCTGATAGTTTAGGTCATAAATGAATGCAGCTAATTTAATTCCTAGTAGCCATTCATTCCTAGTAGCCTAGTGCAATTCATAGTAGCTATTATTGTGTAGAAATAATCAACACAAAATTGACAGCACTAAAATCACACATACGAAAATTTATGAGCAAAATTGTTACAACAATCAAATCTTTACAATTTTTTTTGCAAAATTAATAGAAAACAGTTACAGTAGAAGAAGCTATTCTTAACATGTGCTATATAAAAATCAGTATATCATACCTAGGTGAATTTGAAATAAAAAGAAATTAGTCTCAATAACTTTGCTAAAATAATATAAAAAATGGGAACATTTTGCTCTGTTAATCGAGGGGTTAAGTTGACTAAGTAGAGTTCATTCCAGATCATTCTTTTCTTAATGAAAATTTATCATATTGGAATAATTCTGATTAAACTGCTTATACTAAAAATAATCTTAGAGTAAAAATAGCAAGGTTCGATGACACCTGAGGTCAAACAGCAGTTAAAATATATCATAACCTCATCTGACTATAAAAATAATATTCTAACTTTTAAACTTTATGTGAGCTACACATCTGTTTGAACCTAAGAGAAGAAAGGAAGGGAGAGGAAGAAACTCACCTAGAGAAACAAGGGAAATATTTTGCTACCATATATTTGACCTGTAGAAGGTTTTCTTCTGTTACTCTGAAAGTATGTGTAACTTTTAATAGTGTCATGTGGCCTCAAGTCTTATTTGAGCTTAGAATTAGTTTGGAGTTAGGAAGTATTTTCTAACCCCAAATGCTGAAAAGTCCGAATCACTTATGGTAATTCAGAGAACTGGGAAGAAAATTGACCTTGAGTTCTTTATAAAGTGATTCTTCATATAACCTGTATACCAAATTGACCTCAAAATTTTCTATGAAATATACTGAAAATTTGCTTTGCTTCTACTCAAGGAAATAGGATTTTTTTTTTAGACCTGACAAAAAGGCATTGGAATTTTTTATTAAAATATGGGTTCCATGGGTTCAAAATGGAAGTTTTCAAATTGTCAATAATTTGGTAATGCATTCCCTATTCCATTTCTAACAATTTTATTTGCTCTTTCAGATCTTTATACATCTAAATGACATTTACTCTGTGGTGGGAATTCCTGTCTTCAGGTAACTATCAAATGTTAAGCTTCAGTTTTGTCCCTTAGGAGAGTTTGTAAAATTATGAACTTTATGCTTTTCATATTTATAGTATGAAAACTGGGCAGGGGGTGGGAAGCATTTTTTTATTTCCAGCAGGTACAGTGTTTTCATGGAGCTTACTGGATATGATTCAATCTGACCAGTTAGAGCTCTGAAAGATTTGATCACAGAAGTGCATAATTACATGATTCATACTTAAAATTATATTTAATTATTTCAAATATTAAATAATTTTCACAGGTCCATATTTAAACTAAAATTTTTAATCTGTTAGCATCCTAGAATTTTAATTAAAAAATTCAGCACAGTTCTTAAAAATCACCTTGGACATTTTATCACTATTCTTTTATTGTGGGAAAGGATTACAAGTTTTTAAGATCTTCTTCAGGTATCTGTCTAGTCTTGCAGGAGTCCTTATAATAATAAAAGTGATTCATTTCCTTATTCAAAACCATTTGTTGCTTATCATACAACACATACTTTTTTTAGATGCTTTGAGAGAAGTAAAAGGTAGTTGGATAAAAAAATGATTTCTGATTTCTTGGGAACAAGTTAATACTGTTGGCCTCTTCATATCTCTGTTTTCATAGCACTGTCTACACAGTATATAGTATATAGTAATTTAAATACCCTTCTCTAGGTGATTCGACGCATCCATAAAGGTCTTAGGAAAATATCCCATTTGCCCTGAGCTCACATTTATGCAGCTACAAACTTGAACCCGAAGGTCAAGAAGATTGCTTACTGTTATTGGAATAGCTTTTATCAACCAACCAATGGTCAGTGACAGTTAGGCAAGTGCTGAGAACATTGTAGAAGTTCAAGGAATGTTGAGTGATTGAAGGCTTGCCGTGTGCATATGGTAGATTCCAGCAGCATCTAGATTACAAATCACGAGCTAAGTATTTCTTCTCACCTTAATGCCCATGAAGACCTCCCTTGCCTCAATGCCCTGTTGGTTTCCCTTAGCTCCCCCTACCCTGAATCTTTACAAGTTCTTCCAGACCAAACCTAACACATTGCCGTACACCTACATCTAAGATGTGTCCAGGTTACTCTATCCAAGACTTTTTGAAGCCCTAGACCCTAAGCCCTGCAAAATATTTATAAAACTGATTGACTTTAATTTGAACAGTTTTGCTTACCTGTTTTTTTTAATTACTCCATAATAGTTGTAGACAAGGTGGGGGAAACTGAAAGATGGCCACATGTCAACCTAGAATAATTTTGACGTTACCAAATATAAGGGTAAGAAAAACTGATGAAACAGTAAAGTATGAAGTACATTTTTGGAAAATTCATAAAATAATTAAACATTTTTTAACCCTTGGCTCTTAAAAGAGGAAAACTATGTTTCTAGAATATTAATTTACAAAAAAAAAATCTCATTTCAACAATGCTGACTAAGTACAGCACTGATGTGTTTTGATTCTTCCCACCAAAAAAATAACTGATTTTTAATTTTTAGTCCTATGAAGATGCTAAATTTCATGTTACATATTAACTTAGCAAGTGTAGATATACAGCCTATATAAATGTTTTTTAAAGATATTAAACTTTTCTTAAATTTATTTGGATGCCTTCTAAACACACTCAGGGAGTCAAACTTATGACATTGCAAATAATAGCAGATCATGTACCCAAAAGTTTACAAATAGAAGGTATGTGTCTCAAAATTAAAACTCAGGTCTTGAATGAGTAGTAGCTGAAAAAACAGGTTAGCCAAAGTGCAAACTAGAAAAGGTATTTGTGTGGTGAGGTTAAATCTTCTCTACCTTAGGGAATATTTGAGTGTGTATTGGATGACATGGGTAACATGATCTGTGGGTCTGGACAAGTGAATCATTTTTATTTACAGCATGTTCTTTCACATACAGTAATTTGGGGTGTATCATCAGGCTCTATTCTTTGCAGGGTTCCTCTAGCCAGCAGAGCTTACATCAAGACAGCAGGGCTGAGGTCTACCATCGCCTGGGCAATGGCCTCTCTTGCTGAAATTAAAGTAAGACGTGTGTGTTTCATTCTTACTCATGGCAAGGTCTTTTCCATAATTAATATGCATTCTCTAATTGATGCCTTTTTTTTTTTTTTTGCTTTTTTCCTTTCTTATCCTTTTAATGTTTTCTTTCTTTTTGTTGCCTTTATACTTACAAACTGCCACAGTAATGTTTTTATATATTGTTGGACTACTGAGAGTGTTTGGGCTATGAAAAAGCCAAGTCAAAAGACTGACTATTATTTGCATTCTATTATTTGATTTTTCTGTGGCACAATCTTGTGGCCTGTGAAACCTCTCCCTCTTAAAATTGTTTTTCATTGTACCAGGTTCTCAATCGATTTTTGTAAATGCCTCAAGGACATAGAAAATAATTTCATTTTCTAGTCAAGAAATGTCATCCATGTCTTTGCTTATTGTTTTACTGTCTGCTCAGTTCTGACAGTATTTTGAAATATCATAACATTATTTTATTCTTCAGCTGTGTAGTTTGGTTTAGACACACTGCTGACTGTTGCTTCATCAAGAATTAATGCCTTTTTATTGTTACATAAATTGCTCTTTATCTTGATTAGTGAATTTAAACTTAAATTTCATTGTATCATGAGTATTTTCACTGCTCTCATTTCCTTTGCATAGGTCTGTTTCTTTACCACTGCTTTCGTTTCAGTCTTGTTTTCGGATTGTTTTTTATAAACACACAGCTGTTTCTATCCCGCCCTCATGGTCCCTGTCTGTCAATGAGAAAATTCAGTATTTTCATGGACATATGTGATTGTGCTCCTCCTATTTTACTCTGTTTAACTCCTGTCAATGATTATTCTTTTTATTTTTGTGACTTTGATCAAGTTATTTTATGATCATTTTATTGACCTCCCTGAAGTTAGAGGTTTTATTGTTCTTATCCATTAATGGTTCCTTTTCCTAGCTCTCTTAAATGCATAGGACTCTACTTCAAAACAGGAAATCAGCTCTTTCCTCTGACAACACACTGTTTTTACCACCAAGGCATTCTAATACCCCTATCTTCTCCCTCATCCCTATCATAATCAAAACTAGAGGACTTTTCTCTCTTCTCCCGCTCCAACTTTACTCCTGCCTGCACAGTAAGACATTCCTTTTATTGTTAACTATATTATTGTCTGAACTCTTTCACTTTAGTTAGTTTACTCTTGAATTGCTTTCTTTTTTCTGCTTCTGGAATTCCTGATGAACATGATCAGCTTCTTCAATCTGTTTCTTAATGGCTTATCCTTTCTTATATGATCTCTCTCTTTATATTTTGTCTCGCCATTTTAAGTTGTTCTTGAACATGATCTTCCCAGCTATAACAGGAGTCAGAGAGAGAGGCTTTAAGTATTGCAATTTTGAGCTTAAAAGTCACGGGTTTTTTGCTTTGTAGAGTTGTGTGTGTGATATGTGATTAGTGCTACATTAGAATATCTGTAGAAGCTCCAACTTTTTGCTCAGATATTTATTGGTCTTTTCTAGTAGTTGTGTCTATTATGTGTTCTGAATGTTCTTCCTATTTACTCTCAAGCTACTAAGGGTCTTCCTCCCCTTAGATATGCCATTACTATTATTTTTGATTCTCTGGGGTTCTATTGCGTTTTTTAAAGAATTTTAAATGGGCAGAATCCTATAACTAGCAAAGGACAAATAAAAATCTGCTGCCAGTGAGCTGGGCCACCAGCCATGCTGGGACACTCAGTGAAACTTTCTGTCCCCTGGTCTCTAGGTCCCTGAAGACCAGGTTCTGTCCTTGCTCCAGTGAGTCTCCTCTCTGGGCTCCAGTGCTAGTTTCCAGTCACGCACTAAGCCCATGTGCGGGTCCCCCATGCCCATACCATTTGCTGCTTCTGGGACCCCAGCAGAACCCAGAACTTTTCTTAGTGCCAGTTCCTTCTAGGTCTGCACACACTTGGTTCAGGAAAAGTAAATAGCTTAGTGCCGAACAAAATCAAGAAAACTAGTTTCAGATTACCATTTTCCCAGAATCCATTCTTTTCTTTCTTTTTTAATTTAAATCTTTTGTCCAGATTTCTTTATTAGGAGAGGTACGGTTATAGTTTATTTTTTGCCAGACTGGCAGTGATTTCATCACAATTCATATTTAAATATAAGTTCATATATATAATCACCTACAGATTTGAAATATTACTTTTATCTTGATATAAGTGTATATTTTTCAGAAAAGTAGAAAGTAAAGGATCAAAAATACCCAAGGTGATGCCCAATACTTTTTTGCCTACTGTCAGCTGCCATGCAAGGACCATTGTAAGAAACATTTCTCTAAATGGCCATCAGCCAAGAAGGGCTAGAAAGGATTTACAGGGAGTAGCACAGTGGGGTTTTTTGGGGGGAAGGTAGTGATGACCCACATGAGGGACCCCAGTCCTGACTTTGATCCAGTCCCCTCTTAGAAGCTTGCTACCATAGTAGTACAGTAGGCCATTGCCACTGAAAATGCAATTTAAACATTGCATTGGGGTTGTTCCATTATTGTACGTATTTTTTCTAAACAGTTCTCCTTACATATCATGACAAGTAAGGAAAATCAAGTTCTATAAATCGTCATTGTTATTATAGTAAAAAAATACTTCTCTACTTCTGCCTATGTACCCAAATGTCATGGCTTTAAAAAAGGTTCCACGATAAAATAAAGACATTTAAAGATATTTCAGGTCAGATTACTTCATTGAATGTGGTCCACAGGGGAGGAAGAGCACAGTATTTGGCACATTTTAAGAACTTGACAAAAATTAATTCTCATACCACTATTAAGTAAAAATGCAAAAGAATCATTATTCTTTTGATTTACCACCCCTTCATGGGGGACCTATAGATAGTCTCTTTAGCATTGAGTGCCAGGAGAAACCCTCTCTCTGCTGAAGGACATTTTTTTTCTTTCCATTAGGTGACCTCTGGCTGAAACCGGCCTGTCCACTGAATGCTCTGCTCCCTCTGTAGACACACCAGGGGGCCGCTGGGCCTGGAGGTGGGGTAGGTGTCCTGCTTGTTCTCTTTGTCCCTTCTGCCCCAAATCCTCTCAGTACCTTTAAAGCACATGTGTTCAGATTGCCCCAGTCATACACAGAACTTCCCTAGTATTCCTGTAAAAATGTAGACCATTATTCCTGTCGAGGTTCTTTTTGACCTCAACTTCCACTCTATAACCTGACCCCAGTGTCTTGACTTCTCTGTCTTTAGTGGTCTGCGTTTGTCACACCTTAGACCTTATCATACCCAGAAGTATATACCTTCCAAAAATCTGTTTCAGAAATCCTGCTCTTAAATGCCTCTCTTTCTTGTTCACCTCTTCCACATCCCTAACTCAGTTCTTTAATCCCGTGGGATCCCTGGTCATATGACCCTGCCACTATCCATTACTCAAGCCTGTCCTCATCCACCCTCATAGCTGGGATTTTGTGTTCTCTTATTACAGTCATTTCCTTGTCTTAACTCCCTTGCTTCTTGCTTAACTCTTGCCTACAGAAGAGAACTTCATGCCCTGCTCAGCAAATGGACTAACATGTTGGAATTTCTGCCACATGCTTTTTGCCATATCGTCATTACAATGACTAACTATCCTTGTTTCTCTCCATGAGTTGTGTGCTGGATTCCAATCCTTCTTGCCAACTTAAGAAATTTCTTAAAAGTCATTCTGATAAACATGTATGCACTTTTGCTGTAATAACTTGCAATTTAAAAAAAAACCGTCTCCTGAACCCTCAAGCTGTTTTAACTACCACCCTCTTCCTTTGCTTCCCTCTACAGAAAAACTCTCAACAAATTCTTAAACCTGTACAAATGTCTGTGTGTCAAAATAAAAAATAACTGTGTATAGAATTTTCATAATCTATAATACATTCAATTAGTAAATTGTAGAAAGTAATGAGTTTGTAATATACCACATTTATCATTCATTGGAAGCTAAGAAATGCTCTTTAAAATTGTCTTTCTTGTAAAGGTCAGGAAAAAGTTTAATTCAACACCACATTGTTGAACTGAATTAAAAAGCATGAAGGTTGCATCCTATTTTTGATGTTTTGCATCATTTAATTACTGATTTATCTTTGTGGCTTTATTTTTTTGGTAGAGGGCAAAAAAACTCCACCTGCTAACTTTTTTTCTTTTCCTTTATAATAGTCACTTGGGGGAGGGGCTTTAGTTGGATTTGTTCTTGAATTAATGGACTCTATTTTTATATATAAACTTTTAAGTCACAAAGGTAACTTTGCTTGCAAATAAATCATACAAATATAGGGTTTAGATACTGTTGTTGTACAAACATAGGTGTTAATATGAATCAATATACAAAATTAACTTACATGCTATAGAGAAGACTGCACAGATAATGCCCATCAAAGATTCTAAAGAGTGTCTGATTATTTTATTCACATACTTTTTAATGTGAACTTTACAGTTATTTTTGATGGGTCAAAGAAACATCTAGATATATTATAGATTTTGTAACTTTGTCATAAGAAATAGAAGTCCTGAGTATAGAAAAAAAAAGTTAAAATATTTGTCCATATTTGGTATCACTGTTTCTTTTCCCCTTTTCTTATATCCACTTCCATCAGGCATTCACTGCCAACTCCCCACTGAAACTGTCATCTTACTTAACTAACCTATTTCCACTTTAACATTATCGTCACTCTCCTTTTTGAAGTATCTTTTCCATTTTGTTCCAGGAACACCACTCTAGCTTCTCCATCACTATACACTATGACCTGCTAGATCTTCATCTGCCTAACATCTATACTTAGGAGATCTCTGGGGTCCAGTCCATGAACTTTTTTTTGCTTCCTAGCTGACTCATCCGGTTCTGGTTCTTTAAATATCATCTCTAAGCTGACTAACACTGACCATCCCCATTTATATTTGTAGCCCAAACTCCATGGATGATGTCCAGTGACTCACTTGACATCTATACTTGTTCAAAGCAGTATCTCAAAATTCACATGTCCAGAACTATATTCCTTTGAAGCTTCTTGTCCCCATCTCTTCCCATCTCAGTTAACAGGCAACTCTCTCCTTCCAGTTGTTCACATCAAAAGCTTTAGTTATTTCAGACTGTTATCATTCTTTAAAATTCCACATCAAATATATCTACTTTGAAATATATCTGGAATCCAGCCTCTTCTTCACCACCTTTACCAATACCACTCTTAATTCAAACAACCACCATCTCTTAATTAGATCCCCTACTGGCCTCCTTGTTAACACTCTTTACCCTTCTGTGGTTTTCTAGACCTGTAATATTATATTATGATATTCCTCTCCTCAGAGCCCTCCAGTAGTTTCCCATCCTTCAGAGTAGAATCAGAATCCATACAGAACCTACCAGATCTGACATGACATGACCTCTAGAGTGGGAGTAATGAGTTTTATCTCCAAATCTCTACTGCTCCTCCTGGGTAGAGGTAGAACTACAGTTTCCTGACCCCTTTAAATTAATGTATATCATGTGATTGACAAGCTCTTGTCAGTTAAATGTCAGTGGAGTTGTGTGTGTCATTTCCAGATGGCACCATTAAGAGCCACTGCATAGTCTGTCATGTTTTCTTTCCCTCCGGCACAGTTATGCACACTGCTTCATCAGTTGGCTTCCCAAGTGAGGAGCAGAGACCCCAAGAGGAGCAGAGTCCTAGTGTGGGCACATAACATGAGTTATGTGTTGCTTTACGTCTAAGATTTGGGGGATTGTTGCTACCTACAGCAGCCCATCTTAATGGACTCACCTAGTTGCCTCTTTGATGGCATCATATTTTTCTTCTTACTGTGCTTCGGCCACAGTGACCTCCTTAATATTTAAACCTGCCAAACATACACCTGCCTTTAGACTTTACCAAAATTCCTAATCAAGTATAAAAAAAAACCTGTAGTCTTGAAATATGATTCCTTGAGTTTTAAGTTTTTATTATAATACTTACTATGATAGACTTCATAATGCCAAATCAATATTTCTGTCTATAGGCTGGTGCACTTGTTTTAGATCCAATGTGTGGACTTGGAACAATTCTTTTGGAAGCTGCCAAAGAATGGCCAGTAAGTTCTCAAGTCTGATAAGGGCAATGTATTTACTTTAATCAGTATATGTCTGTGTGTACACACATGTATATTCGCTTACCAATCACAAGGCAATTGTTTATTTTCAGGTTATTATTTTTATAATTGAGTTGCTGTTTACTATAGTTGAAATGGATTATGAAGGGTTAATTGAACTGTCATTTCTTTTTTGAGTGGAAGAACTGGGGTATAGGCCAGAGGTGTAGGGGGTGAGAGGATTCACCAGAGACAGAGTGGGGAACAGAACAGGTAGATTAACTGAAGTACACTGCTAAGGGCAGCATCAGGAGAGACAGGAGAGGTCCGCTGCACCATATGCAGGTCAGCTCCTTGGCCAGGGATTGAACTCAGGCTGCAGCAGTGACAGCACTGAGACTTAACACTTAGGCCACCAGAGAAGTCCCTAATCTGTCTTATTTCTTAAAAGATTATGACATATTTAGGAAAATGTGAATAATTTCAGTAATTAGTTGTGACAGATTATGCTAATCCCCAAATTTTTTAGACATCTGTAATTGCAAAATATTAGCAGATTTTAAAATCTAAACAAAAGCTTTTAATTTTTTGCTGCTGTCTATCATTTTTAAGAAATATAAATGTTTCATATAAATAAATATAAATGTTTTAACCTGAATTAATAAATATATTGATTTCATTTTTACCATTTGGGAAAAGGAAAGTAACTTTCTTAACTACCTAAAATAGACAGTAGTTTTACTTATACTTAAGATGAATTTCTTTCCTCATAGGATGTGAATTATGTGGGTGCTGATGTTAGTAACTCACAGTTACTCGGTGCCTGTGACAATCTGAGAGCTGCAGGCCTTAAGGATAAAGTTGAGTTACTTAAAGCCTCTGTGATAGGTAAGATATTAAAAATGTAAACATTTGGGGAAATGAACATATGTAAATATATTGAGAATCATAATATAAAACAAAACTCACTTGTCATAGATGAAGGTTGAATTATTTATACCCTGTAATATAATCTGCAGGGCTAATAGTTTACTTCTGATTTTATACTTGTAACCTTTTGATGTTTCAAAAGAATCATGATTGAGAGCAACATTTATGTGGTTTTCCTGAGCATTTCAGGGAAAGCGTGTCTTTTTGAGATGTGTTTGTTACCGTGAACCACGTCTCATATCATAATCAAGGATCGCTGGGTATGTCAGACATAAAATAAGGGAAACAGTTAACAATAATATTATTAATAACATTAATTATATTAATTTAAACAGTAATAATGATAATAAATACTCTTTGGATTTCAGATAAACTATATGAAATGTTCTGAATTATCTCACCTCCTTGCCTCACTAGGCGTGAGTAATCCACCCCGTAGCCTGCTAACCTGCCACCTCCAGTGCTGAGACTGGGGGCTTGTGGGGCAGCAGAGGTCATGCTGGGAGTAAAGGGGACACTGCCCCCTATTATTAATGGGGAGTCAATAGTGACAGACATGACTTGAAATTGAACTTGTTGAGTCCAATCAAAAAAGTACTTCCCTAAGACCTATGGCATTTAGATTCTTTTATAGAAACCTTGTGTTCCTTATTTCTTTCTCATTCTCTTAGTACTCCCTTGAGAATGGCACATATTAAAAAAACTAGCAACAACAAATGTTGGCAAGGGTGTGGAGAAAAAGGAACTCTTCTGCACTGTTGGTGGGAGTGCAAACTGGTCCAACCACTTTGGAGAGCTGTGTGGAGATTTCTGGACCTACTAAACATAGAGCTTCCATATGATCTAGCAATTCCACTCCTAGGTATTTACCCAAAGGACACAGAAACATCAATTCCAAAGAGCACCTGCACCCCTATGTTTATAGCAGCACTATTTACAATAGCTAAGCTTTGGAAACAGCCCAAATGCCCAAAAATAGATGACTGGATCAAGAAGATGTGGTACATATATACCATGGAATATTACTCAGCATTCAAAAAAGATAAACACATGCAATTTGCAGCAACATGGATGGCGCTGGAAGGGATCATGCTCAGCGAAAGAAGCCAGAAAGAAAAAGAAAAATACCGGATGGTCTCACTCATAGCAGGAATCTAGAAAACTTAAATAAGGGACCAGGAAAATGAATAACTATAAGAAAGTAAAAATCAAAATCAACAAAAAACTATGAACCAGAGACACTCTATGGGGGGTAGGGGGCAGGAGGGGAGGGATTGGGGTCAAAATAAGGGGGTTGCAATTCTATGGGGAATATAAAAATAAAATTTATTATTAAAAATTTTTTTTAAAAAAATGAGCACACTTAATTCCCAAGAATTAAGAAAACTGTATTCTCCTGGCAGTGTGAGTAGGTAGTAGGTAAGTCCTGATACTGAACCTGTAATCTGGAGGAGTTAGATGTGTTCACTAGACTTTCCCAGATAACTCTGTTGGGGTCTGGGGGAGAGGGGTATTGGGGGGTGGAGGTTAAGTTTTTGCCATTAAAAACATATATCACTTAGGATAATAAAAATTATTTAAATGTTGCATCTCTACAAAATTTGATGTCCTTCAGAATAATTGGAACATCTACCTTATGAATATCTAACTTAATTTCTTAATTTGATGATGGTGGGAAGTGAAGTAAGTAGAAAGTGAAAAACATACTCAGATAATGCAGATTGGCTGCATTATCTTGTGATAACCTAATTTCTGGAAAGAGAATGTAAAGATAAGAAGTTTATACTTAATCAAACACAATGCTGAATTTTGTCTAGTGACTATTGATTATGATTATATAGACTTTTCTCTAGTCCTGGACTTAGGTAGATATTCTTAACCTTTTGAGTCCCCTTAAAAAATACCACAAAAGCCATGGATCATCTCCCTTCAAAACAAGTAGATCTATACATATGAAATTTTATATCTAAATATGAAAAGGGAAATGAAAGTTACAGAACATAGTTTGTAAAAGGTTTTTCCAGACAACTTAATATATTTCTTCCTGGGTCTAGCAACTTTCTGTTCATGTAATATGGTTAGCGAATTGAATTTTCTGCTTAATTTAAAATTCTGCTTAACATGTCATATCATACTGGAAAAACCAATTATCAAAGAACAGAATACTACAGCTAAACCATTTATCTTTAGTGATTCTGAAAGCCCTTCAGGATCTTGTAATTCCTCAGAAAAAAATACTAGCAGTTCTAAATTTTGTTTAATATGCAAAAATAATTCTGTGCCCTTCAGTTTTTTTCTTATATTTAAGTTGTAAATATTTGAACATTCTGTAATAGGATTCTCTGATTTCTGTATTTCAGAATTGCCATTGCCTTCAGAAAGTATCGATATTATTATTTCTGACATTCCATTTGGGAAAAAGTTTAAGTTAGGAAAAGACATCAAAAGCATTCTACAAGAAATGGAAAGGTAAGCTGTTGAATTTATTTCCATAATTTTTGAGCTCTTGGGCATTTAGCTAAAATATATAATAGTTCTTCAGCTATGGTTTGATTAAAAGAATTTCCCAGAATTTTTATAACTTGATTATCGAAGATTTCAAATCAGAAGTTTATAATTGACAGTTATTTCATATCATCCAACATTATACATTTTAGTCCAAAAAAAAAATACCTGATTTTTCAATTGCCTGAATTTGAATATCAGAAATAGTGACCTATATTTCAGTCACTGAGCTAAGTCATTTACATATACTTCTAATCCTCACAAAAACCCTGCCTCCTATGTTAATCCCCCATACTTTACACATGAGAAACTGAGACCCAGAAAAATCAGTCTTCTCAAGATCACACAGCTACCAAACAACAGAACAGCACTCATGGAAGGAGCATTCAGTAGCATGGAATGGACAACACTTTTGTAATTAAAATAAAAATGCAAGCGGTGTTGGGCCTCCCCAGTGGCGCAGCGGTTGAGCGCTGGGTTGCGAAGCTGCCCGCGGCCTCTGTGGAGCCGGTTCGATCCCTGGCTGCTCCCCGGCCACCGGAGGAGGGTCCCACATGGCGTGCAGACCTCTCCTGCCGCCCGCTGCTCCCCTCAGCAGTGTACTTCGGTCCTTCTACCTGCTCTGCTCCCCGCTCTGGCTCTGGTGAATTCTCTCACCCTCCCGCGCTTCTGACTGTACCCAGTGCATGTATAAACAAAACAAACAAACAAACCAGCAAACAAATAAATAAAGCATGCCTCTATAAAAAAAAAAAAAAAAAAATGCAAGCGGTGTTATTCTTACTATGGAGTCTAAGGTCTACCTGAGGGATTATAATCCAATGAAAGTAATTCATGTCAAGGAAGATATTCTGTAAGGAAAATTAAAGTTTGACATGAAGTTTAAGCCCAAATAAGAGAGATTTCACTTCCATCTTGTGAGCTGGATGCCAACACTTCTTGACAGATTATCCTTAGAGATTGGAGTTAAGAAACTTCCCCTGTTGTGCAGTTACCTAACTCTTGATCTGTTACCTGGGAATTCTCTTTCAAGGCAGCATTCATAATTCAGACATTCCCTGACCTCCCTTCTGCCTAATATCACATTCGCCTCAAAAAGATTTTACAGCCCTGACTTTAAGTTTTTTCAATAGTTTTGGAAACACTGATGTCCATGCTCCACCCCTCCCCATCAAGTCTCCAATTTAGTTAGTCTGGGTATAGCCCAGATGTCAACATTTCTTTAAACTCTCAGAAGGTGATTTTTTTGTGCAACCAGGGTTAAAACCACACATAGCCTTCACACCGAATAAGGTAATTCGCCAGCTGCACAATGTGAGACACTGATATGTGTGAGCAGTGACTTACATTTTCATCTGGAGTTTCCCAGAAATAATGGCTTCCCCTGACAATCTAGTGGCACAATTGTAGACTCTCCACAGGCAGCAGGGGGCAGCAATTTGAGCAGACAGTCCTTTCAGCACCAGTAGATTTATACCAGCCCAACTTTCTCTTTACTGGTTTTGGTCTTTATGTGAGGCAGTTGAAACTGAGACAGTGATAGATAATAACTGCCCTCATACTGTGACAGAAAATTTAAATATTTACTTTGAATCGGGATTTGAGATTTTCCACATAATTGGAGTGCCTGAGTAGCGCCAGTGCAAAGTAGACTTATTTGGACATAAAGAACTTCTGTGGCCAGGCTTCCCTACCACCTGCCCATAGCTTTCGTGGTTTGACTTTTGACTTTTTATGGTTTGAGATTTCCAAGGACAGTCGAGCATAAGAGAATGTTGAAGAGTACAGCCAGAATACCTGGACACTCTAACCGTTACTCTTCTTCAGTCATTGACAAATTGCTTGACCACTTTGTGCCTCATTTTTAATAATAGCACCTACCTCGTAGCCTTGTTCTGAGGAGCCCATGGATTTGCAGCTCTTAGAACAAACAGTATTTGGCACCTAGGAGAAGAGCAGTAGCTTAGCTTTTACCTGATCTATCAATGTAAAACACTTCGAATCCTTTTGGGAAGTAAGTGGGGATACATATGTCTCAGGACACATAACTTACCAATAGTTTTAAGACTTTAGATAGAAAATGGAAGGGCAGAAGAATTATGTTAGTAAAAAAAAAAAAAAAAAAAAAAAACAAGAGCTCAGTAAAACTACTCATAATAGGTAATGGAAATTGTTGGCTGTATGATTAATTCAGAACTGGATTCTCGAAAAAGAATGTGCAGTCAGAATTAAAGATTAAAGATTGTCAGACAAGGGGCCTCCTTGGTGGCGCAAGGAGTTAAGACGCAGCACTATGAAGTTACCCGCAGCCACTGCAGCATGAGTTCAATCCCCAGCCAGGGAGGTGACCCACATGGCGAAGCAGACCTCTCCTGACTCGCCCGCTGCTCTCCTCAGCAGTGTATTTCAGTCAATCTGCCTGTTCTGTTCCCCACTCTGTCTCTGGTGAATCCTCTCACCCCCCCACACCTCTGGCCTGTACCCCAGTTCTTGTACAAATAAATAAATAAATCTTTAAAAAAAAAAAAAAAAAGATTGTCAGACAAGTGATGGCTCTGGCAGCGTGAGCTGTGCATGTTCAGCTCCATTATTTCCTCCTTTAATTTATTTCAGCAGTAACGTAACCATTTCAAGAGTACAGAGCATAGTGAGGAATTTATAAAAGTATAATATTTGAACTTTCCTCTCAAATACAATCATGCAAAACAGATGAGCAAAATCAGAAATTCAAACCTGTTCAGCTTCCTTCTCAGGAAAAGGAGCTCACTCATGCCCAAGGGGTTTGAGTTGGATTCTTGGAAGCAGCAAGAGTTCAGTGAAGTTTAGAGTGAAAGGGACCACACCATGTTTTATACATGCAGCTGTCCAGGAACCGTGTGAGTGAATAGTGAAACAAAAGGCTTGAGCAAGAACAATGAACACACCAGACTGCTTGGAACAGAGATTGGTTGGTCAAAAGTGAAATCTTAGTGAGTTCCACAGTTAAAGAGTTTGGAATTATTTGTATTGTTTTCTCCAGTCTTGCAGGTTTATTTACAAAAAGAAGTCTAGTTTATGTTTGTTTGGGTTTTTTTGGTTTTTTTTTTTTTTGATACAGAATTTCCCCAACTTACTGACCACGGGATTCTTTTTCTCGAGAAATAATCTTTAATAATATGCTTGTGTCTAGAGGATTACAGTTTGGGAAATGTTGCTTAATAATTTCTGTATAGCTTTCTTAGTATGAAATTATGTGTATATGAAGAAGGAAAGATGCATAAAAGGCTAGTTATCAAAATAATGATTTCAAGTGACTATGTGCTATTACATAGCTAGTACTTATGAACATTTAGGTAATCACCCATTTTTCATTTTAATAAACGATGACCTGAGCATAGTTGTACAGTTTTTCAAACCTACTGTATGACTACATTACTTTAATACCACAGTACCTTCATTTTTTTTTTTGCAAAATGTTGATGCTAATAGGTCATAATTCTGAGGATTAATTGACATTTAATGCAAAGCATTTAAAATAGTGCCTGCACATATATTTTTAATACATTATTGCTAAAAACTGCTGTCCCAAAAAGTCATACCAGGGCCTCCTTGGTGGCTCAAGGGGTTAAGACGCAACCTATGAAGCTGTCTGCAGCCACTGCAGCACGAGTTCAATCCCAGGCCAGGGAGCAACCCACATGGCACAGCAGACCTCTCCTGTCTCACCCACTTCTCCCCTCAGCAGTGTATTTCAGTCAGTCTGCCTGTTCTGTTCCCCGCTCTGTCTCTTGTGAATCCTCTCACCCCCCATACCTCTGGCCTGTACCCCGTTCTTGTATGCATAAATAAATTAAAAAAAAAAGTCATACCAATTTGTATCTTCAAAAGTACTGATTTTTTTAAATCTCTCATTGAATGTGGTGATCTTTTAGTACAGTAGATAGAAAGTTATATTCCATTTATGACCAGTTAAGTTTTCTTTCGTGTATTCAGAGATGTTTGTATGGTTCCTTGTTTCTGGCTCATGTCTACAGCCACAGCTGTCCTCACCCACCCCTCAGTAGAAAAGCTCCCTCTCTTCCAGCAAGGACTTATCCTCTCGGTCCCCACCTCCTCAGGGATTGGGCTCTGCCCACTTCTCATCTTATCTTCAACCTGTTATCTCCTTGTTCTTTCCAGAGTCATCCAACCTGTGCCCAGACACTTTGAGAGGTCTTGCACATCTCAGGCTTGCTTTCCAGGGTGGGAACACAGATCAGTAGTGAATAAACAGAATAATTTTAGATCATGAAAGGAAGAAAACGGGATATTTGGCTAGAGTGAAAGCAGAGACTACCTTAGCTAGTGAGAAAAAAAATCTCTGCACAGAGATGATCAGTGAACTCTGGAAGCTGAGTGGTGGGAAATCACCCAATGGAGTGAGAACTGTGGAGTGAATTGGGAAGGCCACGTGTCCTAAGGCAGGAAGCTTAGTGGGTCTGAACAACTGATCAGCAACTGATCACTGTGTTTAGAGCACAGTGTACAAAGGGAAACAAGCAGGCAATGACGTTGGAAAGGCGGGTGAGGGTCAGATAGGTAGAAGCTTAGAATTTCGTTGACATATATATGAAGGGGGAGTTAGCAGGGATTTACAGCTGTCTTTCTGGCAACTGGGGAGAGTGGAGCATGGAAATGAGACCTGTCAGGCCATGTGAGGCAGGTCATAAAGATCAAATGAAGTAGATGCATGTATGATACAATTTGGAGAGAGAATTGTCTAGATTGGCTGCTTGTTTCACTGAGGGAAAGCTACTTAAGCTCCTGACATCTTCGCTGGGCGTAGGCGAGATTCCCTTTAATTCTTGGTCCTCTGCTCCTATTTCTTTCCTATACATTGGAGCTTCTTGAAATATTTGTCTGCACCTGACATCCGTTTCCAGTGCTCCTGCTTCTGCAGACAAGCATTGTTTCCTGTCCTCAAGGTTGCTGCCCAGGTTCATTTAACTTCGGATAGTTGTAGTCAGTTGTTAGTCCTCCAGCATCTGACACTGTTGAAACCTTTCCCTCTTGAAATTGTATGTTTTGGGCTTCCACAACTTCACCATTGTCCAGATTTATTAGGATCTCTGTTTCATGCCTCTTCTTCTGTCCGTCCGTAAGTGTTCAGCCTCTGTACCTTGGGCCGTGTTCACCCCCCCCCCCCCGTACTGCTCCCTAATGATCTCCACCACTGGGAATTTATCTACCATTTTATTCTTAGAAACTGAAATCTCTCCCTCAAGCCCTGGTCTTTCTCATGACCTCCAGGCTGCATATCCGGCTAGTGGAATTCACACCCATGTGCTTCTTAGCTCCTCAGCACATCCCAGACAGAACTCCTCACCACACTCTGACTCACCCTCTTGCTGACTTCCTCGAGCTCTCCTTCCTCTTTTTTCTGCCTCTGCTGCTGCTCTGCCTCTCACACCCTCCTCTGCTCCAGCCCCTGGCTGTCACTTGCCTGGTTCTCTCCTGCTTGTCCTTAACTCCCAGTGTAGGTAATTCTCAGCCGCTCTTGTGCCTGGATGGTAACATTTGCCACATTCTCTAACTTGTCTCTCTCCACCCCTGTTCAGGGCAATTTCTTCAACTCAGGTGGATTGTGTGTTAGTCATTACTTTTCCAGGTCCGTCGACTTTGATCAGATGATTCAGTACATGAAGTCTCTTCAACAAGCTGACATTTCAAGGTCTTGTCTTTTTCTGATCTTCCCTTTTACAGTCCTTTGTGCACATTCTCACACTTTCCCAGCGACTTTCTTCTGCCATCAGCCTACTGCCTTGAATATATGCTGATTCTTTAGGATTCTTTCATTTGCCTTTTCCTTTGTACAATCATTTATTAGAATGTGACTACAAATTACTTTGAGGCTTGCCTTTTAAGTAGAGTAAAAATAGATAATTAAAGCAGATTTGTACTAGTGATTCCATAATTACTATAATGAATATGCATTGTGGAAGATACTACCTAATTATCAAAATCCTTGTATTTAAATAGAGAAAATTAAATTTCAAATTAAAAACACCAAATATTTAAAATAAAGTGGGATTGTTTGTTGTCTAAAAAAGAAATACTCATGCCAATTACCATTTTTTGTTACAGAGTGCTTCGTGTTGGTGGAACTATCGTATTACTGCTTAGCGAAGATCATTACAGGCGCCTTAAAGATGGTAAAGAGAGCAGCAGCCCTTTGAATTCCAAGGACAGCCGCACAGATGAATCTGGAATTGAAAAATGCTTGAATCTCAAAGAAAAAACTGCCATTTCAGAGACAGTGTCATCTTCCTTAGAAGCCAGTAACCAGGGATGCTTAGACAAAATGCCACCATTTGGCTCTTTAGTGTCAGTGGAATGCTACCGAGTTAGCCTTGGAAAAACAGATGCATTCATACATAAATATAAGAAGGTCCACTCCTCTGGACTACAGCACACTGGCTGCGCTAAGGCAGGTTCAAGCCCTTAGACAGCAGCAGCACAGCAGTAGAAGTGGCTGTGCCTGGGATCTTGGTCGAACCCCAGAGTTCCAAGTAACCAAACTCCCCTGAAGACAGGGTCTGGGCATCAGTGCTTAGGAGCTTTTGCTTTACTCTCTAAAGAGCTCCCTGCTTCAGACCAAAGACAATGGATGCTTAAAGGACTCTTAAACTTTGTATTCCTTTAAAATGTGAAAAGGTCTGCTCTTGCCAGCACTGTTTCTGAGCAGAATCTTCAACTCGAAAATTTTTCGAGGTTCACAGAATGTGTATTGCAGTCAACATCACAAGGTTGTTGATATCCTAAGTCAGACTTTTCTAAATGTAGAAATGTTTGTGTTACTTAATTTTGATATTTTGAACCTGTAATTTTCTTCTCCTTTGGAATGAAATTTTTATTTGTAATACATTTTGTATGTTCCACTTTATGTAAAACATCAATGGGAATAATAAAAATATGAATTAACGCCAACCTCCAACATGATGGAAATGTTTTTTCTAAAAGCATTAATAAATTATTCCCTTGCTCTTATTTATATTCAGTGCATTCCTTGTGTTATTTGAGAAATAGAAAGTTGACAAAAACATGATTTCATTTTTTTCAATAGCCTAGTTTCTTGACTGCTTTAGTATCATTTGAACAACCTTCCCATGTTTGGGGGAGTTTCACCTTGTGAATTATACCTCACCAAACAAGAAACAGAAAAGTTATCTTTGAGCTAGGGTGTCGCATGTAGCCTAAGACCCAAAACCAAGGGCCACTTGACAAAGGGGACTAATGAGGCACAGGTGGTAAGTAGTTTTTATCTGAAAGCTCCTTCTAATAATCCCAGTGGGACCTGAGCCTATCATACTCACACAAGCATTGACTGCAGTATACCTACTCTTTGCCAAGGCACTGCACTGTGCCAGGCCCTTGGTTACATCCGTGAGCCACACAAACTACCCTCATGGTGTTAGACACCATTCTGTGAAGTCGCAATTTCCTCACCTCCTTATATGCAGCATACAAGTCCCAGTAGGCCATGAACTGGACTTCCTGAAAGGGGAGCTACCGGGATCTAGGGGTGGAGCTGAGCAGCCAGGTGAAGCTATATAACGCGGAAGGCAGGCCAGCCCATCTTAGTCCTGCTTCTGTGACCCAACTTGCACTCTGGTACTGTTGGGAAGGAGACTTGGAGGAGAGGCATGTAAAGCTACTAGGAAAAGACACCAGGGTGAAAGACACAGGAGGAGGTTGTTCCTGACACTTGGCAGAAACAATGCAATCAATACCTTGACCTCATTGTGGATTATGTGTATTTTCTCTCTCTTCTATCCCAGATCTCTGGGACCGGCTTAACCCCTTTTTTGTTTTTCCACCAGACTTGTGGCAAGCTTTCAGGCTTCAGAGGCTCCTCTTCAGGTGGAGCCTGTTGGGTTAGGCATTTGCCCACAGGGGTTAATTTGGGGTGGGGAGTATTGGGAAGCTATTATTAGGAATATCCTTTCTTCTATCTCCATGTACACTAATTTAGTAAAGATCTTTCACACTAAGTCTGCTCCCTTTATCTTTGTGCAGTAAATGGTTGGATCCCTTTTGGAACATGCACCATTTAGCAGTTTGGGGTATCCGTGTGCCTTTCAGTCGTGTGCTAAAAATAGAACTTAAATATTCTAGTGGGGGAGACATAACAATGAGTAATTTATAATTACTATTATTTATTTTTATTCATTATAATTTATTACTAGGTAATGTATTTGATAAGTTAGAAGGTGGTAACTGGTTGGGGCCAGTTAAGGACAAGAAGAGTAATGAGATTGGGGAGTACAGAGGATAGGGACAAATAACAGGGACAAAAGTGTTTTTCCATTTTTAAATAGATCAGGCCCCTTTGTGAATGTGAAATATGATCAATTATTTTTTTTTTTTAATAGAGGCATGTTTTTATTTATTTATTTATTTGTTTGTTTGTTTGTTTGTTTATACATGCACTGGGTACAGTCAGAATCGCGGGAGGGTGAGAGAATTCACCAGAGCCAGAGCAGGGAGCAGAGCAGGCAGAAGGGCCGAAGTACACTGCTGAGGGGAGCAGCGGGCGGCAGGAGAGGTCTGCGCGCCATGCGGGACCCTCCTCCGGTGGCCGGGGAGCAGCCGGGGATCGAACCGGCGCGGCAGAGGCCGCGGGCAGCTTCGCAACCCAGCGCTCAACCACTGCGCCACCGGGGAAGCCCCAAATACTTTTTTTTAAGATTTATTTATACAAGAACCGGGTACAGGCCAGATGCACGGGAGGGTGAGAGGCTTCACCAGAGAGAAAGCGGGGAACAGAACAGGCAGACTGACAAAATACACTGCTGAGGGGAGCAGCGGGCGAGATAGGAGAGGTCTGCCGCGCCATGTGGGACCCTCGCCAGCCGGCCGGGATCAAATTGGTGCTGCAGAGGCTGTGGACAGCTTCACGGTGCAGCGCTCAACCGCCTGTGCCACCAGGGGAGGCCCTGAACAAATATTTAGATGACAGTGTTCTAGAAAGTGTTCTAGCAAATGGAACAGGCCTGGGGCAAGAACAGTGTCTGATTGGAACATTAGAGAGACAAAGTGAGTGAGGAGGAGAATGAGAGGTTAAAGAGGAAGTGAGTGGCAGGTGAGGTGGCGGGTTCCACCTTATAGGACTTGAAGAGTGTTAGGAGGACTTTGACATTTCCTCAAATCACTGGAGCATTTTTAACAGGTAGCAATCTAACATGCATTTTTACAGGATCGCTGTGACTACTGGATTGTGACTTGATTATAGAGAAACCACTTGGGAGTTTTGTAATAATCCAAGCAAGAGGAAAAGGTAGTTTGCCCAAGTGTAGAGCAGAGGCAGTAAGAGGCAGCTGGATTCTGGATTTAGTCTGAAAGCAGAACCAGCTGCATCACTGAAGTGCTTGCTGTGTGAGCTGGAAGGTGCAGAGGAGACCAGGAATGACTGTGAGATTTTAGCCACACACCTGGGAACAGTGAAGTTTCCATCAATTGAGAGGGGAAAAGGGACAGGAAGAGCAGACTGGATGGGAGCCATCAGAAGCTGAGTTTTACACTTGCCAATTTTGACATGCGCGATTAACATCCAAGTAGAAATGTTGATTCAGCAATTGACTATATGACTCTGTGGTTTAAGAAAAAGATCTGCTCTGGAGGTACAAATTGGGGGGATTTTCAGCATATAGGCACCATGGAACTGGGTGGGGTTCACCAAAAGACTTGGCACGGGAGAGAAAGGAAGAAAAGCAGGACTGAGCCCAAGGTTCTTCCAACACTAAGAAGCCAGGGGAAAGGAGGAAGCGGAGAGGGAGACTAAGGGGCAGCCAGCTAGTCAGGAGGGTAGCAAGAATGGCTTCCCCGAGGGTAAATAAAGTGTTTAGAGGAAGGAGTGATCTACTATTTAAATATTATTAACCAAATATGGACTTGAAATTAACCACTGGATGTAGATGAAGAGGTCATTAGTGACCTTGACAGTAGGAGTTTTGGTGGCACAGAGAAGGCAAAAAAGATTGGATTGGGTTTAAGAGAAAACAGAGAAATACCTGGAAGTAGTGCATATAAATATTTCAACTGGTTTTGCTGAAAAGGGAGCAAAGAATGGCAGTTGTAGGCTGGTAGATGATGTGGAATCGGGAGGATATTTTCTTAAGGTGGGAGAAGCAATAGTGTGTTTTTTAATGTTTGAAAGAATGTTCAGGGAAAGATGCATAACTGATGAGGTAGGAGCTGGAGCAGTGTCCTTGAAAAAGAAGATGGAATGGTGTCTGCAAGGGAGGAATGAGCTTTAGATAAGAGCTTGAATAATTTCCCTGAGGTTACTAGTGGGAAGGTTGCATACAGGCATTTCTGCAATAACATGATAAATTCACCCTTGAAGATTTTTTCATTCTCAAATTCATGTACTAAAAGTAACAATTTTTTAAAAATGGACTGGGACAGACCACTCCAACTCCAAATCTATCCAACTTTGCAAAATGCTCAGTTAATAACACTAATTCATGTCTTTTTTTTTTTTTTTTTAAGTGCTATTGTTACAGGGCAACCCCAGGGGAAATGGGCTGACCTGGCTGTGAGTCCTCACCTGCATGCTTCACAACTCAAGAGAAGACTCAAGGAAGCATACAGGGAAAAGTTGATAAAAGGTTTATTCACAAAGGAAATGAGAATTGGGAGAACACAGAGAGACACACAGAGAGGTTAACTGGTCAATGTTTCCTACCAGTAACGCTGAGCTGGAACCCTGGTGCACACTGAAAGCAGGCAAAACCAAGAGAGTGCAAACCCCCTTATGCTTGGTTTTATAACAAGCGTGGCTGCTAACTCCACCTTTAGTTCCCAGCAACCCCAACCTCGGGAAGTCAAGGTCAAGGCAGATTTATGGCATTATGGGCGGTGTAGTCCTCGGTGCCTGAGCTCTCTGGCATGGAGGTGGGGAGAGTCCATAAAATATCAGCGGGAAGAGTTCTTTCAGGACATACCGCTCCTCCAACAATATTCCTAATAAAAAATACATCCATAAGTAAAGAATTTCACCTTTTCAAGAAAAGTGCAAAGGCAGCTGACAGAGTTTGGGAAGGCTGAGCTGCCCAGGTACACTATACACACCTCCAAGACAGAACTTAGGGCCAAAGTCAACCAAGAAGAAACTGGGGTGAACTAGCGCCTGTAGGGTGCCTTATTCTTCTGGCGCTTGCTCATTCAACCCATTCCATTGGTGTCCTTCACATTCAGCTGCTCTTATCTGCTGGCAACAAAATATAATGTGCTGGGGGGGTGGGAAATATCCCTTATGAACAAGCTGAGTTTCCTCATAATGGTGATGTCATCTCCCTGCTTAGCAATAATATTTGAGTCACTGCCCAGTACAGAAACAGGCATTGCAGGAGAACAGACTGTAAGTGGGAGCAGATGCTGGAAGGCAGGCGGATGTGGTGGTGGTAGACTGGAAGTTCTCTTCTAACTATTTCAATTTCTCAGTGAGAAAGTGTGTGTTAATTTCCAGTTCCTGAGTCGAGCTGAAACAGCTACCCCGGGGAGTTACAGATCCCCACGGCGGCTTTCCGACCCATGGAATGAGGCTGTCTAGTACTGGAGGGCCAAGATCATGAACGCCTTAGGCTTCCCACCCCCACCAAAAAATAGCCAAACCAAGCAATGTCATATCGTTAATAGAAATGACAGCTATTAGTGCCACCAAGGAGAAACAGACACAGATGCTTGATGGAACTCTTTAGAATCTGAAGGCAATTTTATGTCACCTTTGGGTTTGCTGCTCTGACTCATATACTATTACTGGAGGCCTGGGCAAGAGAGGGCTCTCCAGCTGGCCCAGACTCACTGTAAGCAGCACTGTATTTTTGCCCTTATGACCCAGACATCTAATGGTGTTCAGAGCGCCTGTGACCGACCTGGAGACCGTTTGCATGCCGCCTGCAGCAAGTCCCAGTTGGGGAAGCACAGCTGTAGCCTCTTAGCTTCTGGAGCAAAGCCAAGCTCTTATGCTAGTAA